TCTTTTTCATTTTTAATGCATATTTTTCATCTTCAATAAAAAATTTAAGACAATTGTATGTAAATAAAATCAAATACTAAGAACAAAATAAACATTTTTAAGACATGTCTTGTCTTTAATAGCGAATAATAATCTTTTTGATTTATTACTTTAAAGAAAGTAGTAATCAGACTTGAGTGGTTAGCTAAGGAATGTGATTATTGTGGTATATCAGTCTATGCTATTGGTTAATTTTTTTTTAAATAAAAATATAGAAAAAATTATTTAATTTAGATCTAAATTTTTCATTGGAATTTGGTCATTATATTTAAAAATGTAAGTTTAATGACAACAATAAAAACTCATTATTTATTATTTAGTGATCATAATTTTAAAAAATAAAATATTTCTAATTAAAACTATCATTTAAGAGACCTACAAAAAATATTTAATTCCAGATACTTTTTTACTCTTTAATTTATGTTATTATCATATATATGACTTGGATAAAACAATTACTTATTATTATTATTATTATTATTATATTTTTCAAAGTATAGAATAAAAATAATTTTATAATTTTTTATTAATTTTTTTTTGTAATTATATAAAAATATTATGAACTAAATAATTTTAATAATAAATTATGAATTAATCAAAAAATAGTTCAAAAACTTAAAATCTAAGTAATAAATAAGCAAAGCTAATTAATTTTCTCTAATGCCACTGGACACCAAAAACCAGATCTGCCGCGAAACGACCGCATTTTGCTGGTCCTCTCGTCTTCTCTCTTTAACAAGCACCAGATGCCCTCACTGCGTCGCCGTTCTGCGGTCAGTTTATTGCCGGAAAACTAAGAAATAAGTAAACTCATCTTCATTTTCTTACCAGACCAGCCTAAGAAGTTGATAGAGTTAACAGGGTTCTGAATCCAGTGAAAAGCACGAAGAGAGAATATATCTGTTCCAACTTGTTTATTCATTTATTGGTTCTCCTTTAAAATCACCTTATCAATCAGGTATTAGTTTATCCATTTCCTTAAATTTTCAGTGCAATCTTTCTCTTTCTCTTTCTCTCTATGTCTCTCTCTTTGATCGCAAACTGAGTTGATCTACGCTTTAAAACTTATTCATAGGTTTTAAATTTGGCTGCGGATCGGATCTTCAGAGCTTTCTGGTATTTCTTTCCTGACCGTATTGAACGTATTGTGCAAATTCGCATGAAAATGAATAAAAGAAAGAAAATCCAACGTTTTCCTTTGGGTGTCTGTTGCTCGTTGAATGCATTATGAAATTCAGCTGAGAAATATGGTTGCAAACTTACTATTCTCTTCAGTTTTGACTAAATTGTCAATCATTTGTTGATGCCGAGAGTTTGATTTTTTGTAGCAATGGAAGAACTGCATTGTGTTTATGTTTTTTCCTTCTCTCTCTCTCTCTCTCTCTATCTATATATATATAATATTTTGCATCAGCCTACCTGCTAACTTTTTGTTTAGAACCTTAAATAGAATGGTGAATTATAAGTATGTGTTTTATTGATCCAGTTCCTGCTTTTTACCATGTTTCCACTAAGTTTTGCCGGTAAATTAAGTTGATTATTATTTTTTTTTTCGTTTACGCTGATTCAGGTGCCTGTAAAGGAAAAAATTAACGAGACAAGAGTATTCCGAAGCAATGTTATCATCTAGGTTTTCTTTCTTGGGAAGCGGGGGTTCCAACAAGGTTGACGAATCCTCCAATGTTCTGGAGAGTAACCTCAAGCCAACTCTTAAATTGCAGACGGACAAAGATGTCTACAGACCTGGTGATTCAATAGTTATTACTATTGAAATTTGCAACCCTGATAATGGAGCTGCTCCAGAAGGGAACCCAACTCTTTTGGTTGAAAGGCTTCGGTTTGAGGTAAAAGGAATTGAGAAGTTGGATATTCAGTGGTTTGCCACTCAGAAACCATTGCCTGGATCAAAACAAAGGAGAGGTTCTAATTCAATTCTTAAAGCTTTTTTATAATAATTATAGTTATCTTTTGCATAAGGGTTGCATCTCCTTGTTGCCTTATTATTATACTTTTTTATTTCAAAAAACTATAGTTGATATCATAAAGTTTACTATTGAGTTTAAACTCTTTTTGAAGGAAACAAGAAAAAAGATTTTTTGTTCACTTTGGGAAGGGTTTAATCTCTATAGTAAACTTTATGATAT